AGTATTTCTTCTCATTCTGTTATGAGGATTTAAAAGATCCTTGTAGAATGAAACTATGTGTTTGCTAGAAAATGGATGTAACTGGAGATCATTTTAAGTGAAATAAGCCAGATGTGGAAGGACAGACACACATTTCCTCTCACATGCAGAATCTAAAACACACACACAAAAAATGAATGTAAAATGAGGACTGTTGGGGTGAGCAGTGGGAGGGTGTAAGCAGAGGGTGATGGTGATGTGATCCAAGTACTTCCTATGCATGTATGAAATGGAATGAAACCCAGCACAATTTTAAAAATAAAGGAGGGAAGGAGATAAAGCAATAGAAGGGGTGAATTTGATAAAATGCATTATAGGCATGTATGGACATATCACAATGAGTAATTAATATATGCTCAAAAAATCCTTCTGTAATCTACTTTTACATAAAATGTGAAAGAGGAACTTGATTTTGTCCCACATTTATACACAACTGTTAAATTAACCAGAGTTCAATTTTAAATTATAAAATTTGTTTATCATATATTGCATTTCTGCATATGCTGGAATATATTTTTGCTTTCTTTTAACAATATTTTTTTCTAAGGGTTGAGGATGTAAGTTAGTAGAAGAGTACATGAAGTTTGTCCTACGTTCAATCATAGCACACCAATAAAACCAAGTTTGTTTAATCCAATACTAATACTGTACTGTCTTAATTTCTGTAATTTAAAAGTATATTAACAGATGTCCTCATTTTTCCTTTTCTAACACTTTATTTGTAAATGCTTTTTAATTTCTAAAATGGGTTCTTAGTCGGGTTTTATATTACTTAAGCCTGGTTGCCTGGATTAGGTCCTTCCATAAAATGCGTATTTCTCTTCAAATACGTCTTGAAACTTTTCTTGATTTATTCTTATGTATTTTTGCTGTATATTTTTCTTCATTTGTAATAGGTTATGGCCGGTGTAGAAAAATCTTTATTCAAAAACTTCTAACTTCAGAATTGTTTTAAATGTACAGAAAAAGCACAATAGTGCAGAGAACTCCCATGTGCCCCACTTTCTCTTTCCTCTACTAATGATTTTTACACTAATCAGCATACCTTTGTCACAACTGACACACATTATTCACACTTCTCGTGAACCTTATCTTTTGCCTTCCACGCCCTGTGTCCCATCAGGGAAGACATCCTTCATCAAATGATATCCCTCTCAGATGAAGTTAAGCTTTCCAAAGAGCAAGCATTTGAGAAGCTGGCCTCCCTACACATCCACGAACTCCGTGGTCAGACCCCAGTATTCTGCTGGAACATGCTGGTGTGGTCTTCAGTGTCCTAATTATCAAGTAAGAGATTTTCAGTAGGTTAGTCCATTTCTGTATCTTATTTTGGAAAAGCTAAGATTGTACAGATACCCCGGACGCTGTGGGCCTGCATGAGGAAGCCCAAAACGTCTTCTAACACACATGCAGGCATACCCGAGCAGGTGCTCATACTTTAATTTCAAGTTTTTTTGAACAAATGATTCTGCTGCACTTGCTTCAAAAATATGTTTGAGAGACATCTGAAGTGGATAAATTGCTAAGGGAACTTATGACTCATTCATCCTTTGAATAATCTGTTTATTTGTAGATAGGTGACTTGCTTTATACGAAAACCTACAAGGACTGGAAGACATATGTTAGTATGTTCCTCTCTGTAGTCTAGGCTGACCTAGGGAGTCTTTTTCATTTGACTTGGCTCCTGACAATCTGAAGAGGTGGAATGTTCCAGGTAGCTTATTTCTTTATAAACTGTTGAATGACATGTTTGGCTCACTTCCCAAAAACACTCTAGAAACAGTACTTGCAAGCATGTCAACCTGTATTCTGGGAATTGTGTTCTCAAAATTATCCTAATCTGTGGATTAGTTTAGTTAATTCCTAAACTTGGAATGGGTTTTTATCTTTTCAACTTTTGGCTGTGCAAAATTTCAACTTTTTAAAAAAACCCTTTGGTCCAAGAGCTTGGATTTTAAGATTAATTTAGCTCAATTTTCCAAATTTGGATTATTGTTATTCTTGATTTAGAGAACTGAGTTCATCCATCCCCAATCATGGCAATCATCCAGCTCAACCAACCAAAGTCTAGCAGTGAAAAGGGAAATCTGTATCTAACCTTTGCTTCTAGGAACACATATGGTTCTTACGTGTAGATGTGTTTGCTCCATCAATAAACAACTCCAGGGTAGAACGATTTGTGGGATGCTAAATAATGATTTACATTTCTTGGACAGATGACACAAGCACAAAAACAACACAAGCCCATGTTCTATAAAAGGGTTCACAATAATTTATTCCACTACTGAAAGGGGCTGGCCCTACTGTCTACCCAGCTGTTATAGTGCCTGCAACCGGATAATGAACAGGAGACATGTCCTGTATGCAAAGATCATAATTTAATGGGGAAATAATGAGAATACTTACATCTCAAATAAAAACAACTTTAATTGCAATGCTATAAGGTGTCATCAATGAACTGCTAGTTTTTATGTCACTGTTTTTTTGTTTTTACTGTTAGCTAAATATTCAAGTTTAGCTGGACTTCTAATAGTTTTCCATTGTCTTCTTTTTTTCCAGGATCCAATTCAGTGTTCCATGTTGGCTTTAGTTTTCCTGTCACTCGAGTCTCCTCTGATCTGTGACAGTTCCTCAGTATTTTCTTTTGCTTCATAACTTTAATAATCTTGGAGGTGCTGGGCTCACATACATCCTGTAGAATGTCATCTATCTTGAGTGGGTCTGATGTCTTTCTCATGATCACCGGTTACAGACTTGGATAAAAAACATCACAGAGGTAAAGTGCTCTCTACATATCATGAGCACAAGTCAATGGCATGTTATTACTAATATTAATTTCATCACTGGGTTATGCCAGGGCTGATAGGCTGTTCTGTAAGTTATAATTTTCCACACTCTGTGTTACTATGTGCATTAAGAGAGGCTATACTCTACCTTCTAAGAGGAAGACTAACTACATTTCTAATAGTTATTTAGAATATTTCTTCTACCCTATTCATTTCACATGAATGAAATTTACTATCATTATCAGTGTGGACTCATGGATATCTATCTTATATTCAGGATTATAAACCAACTATTCAATGTAGCATTACATAGTTTGTTGCTGAAATCATTCTGGATTAGATCACTGGGAGCTTTTTTCATTATTTCTAAAGTATAAATTACAAAAGGTTCCATCCAGGTCAATTTCTTCTAAGCCAATATTCTTAAGCAGTAGCTGAACCACAATTATTCTGTAATGGTTACACTAACAGCTGTTTCCAGTTTAATAATGCTGGAATTGATTAATCTTTTTATTTTAACACATCTTGTCACCTCTCTTCTGAAACTGACAAAAACTATAATCCATGTGATGAAACCAAGTTGAGCATCCAATATTCAACACATCGGGTTTAACTGTGGCAAGGTGATCTTCTATACCCTAATGACACATTTTTTAACAAAAACACGATTCTCTGTGATGCAAGAAAATCAAAATTTTAGCTACATGTCAAATAGTGACCAAGAAGGTCACAAACCTAATAAAAAGCTAAGGGAGTATTTGTATGCTGCCAGGTTTTCCACAGTCCATTTGGGAACTTTTGCAAATATTTCAGACAAGCCTGCATGCCTGTTACGGTTGGTATTTTCTTTATGGTCCGTTTACTTCTCTCCTCTTTAGACACTTGCATTATTAATATCATTATTAATATTTTCCTAATCTCTTGTAACAGTAATTCACCAAGAAAAGGCCACCAAATTCTGCTCTGATTTTCTACTTAGCCAAATCCAAAGTGAAATTCACAGCAGTAGAAACCTTTTTTTCTCACTGTGAAGCCAACATAGCTGCTCTCCAATACAATGGATCTTCAAGTACAAAGCCTAGACAAAAGCCTTTTTTTTAAAAAACGCTTTAAGCCTAAAGCGTGCTTATTTGGTTTATTTTTAAAGTAGTTTAAAACACAGTGTAAACATACATTAAACATGCTGTGGCAGTAACATGAGGTTATTTACATGTTGACATATCCACATGTATACACACACACAAAATGCAGATAAATACAGAAATAATACAAAATAAACAAAAAATTCAATATGATAATTTACTAGCAGTCATGTGCATCACTTACTTTGTCATGTTAATGGCTGCAAAGAAGCTCCCAGTACTGAAATACAGTATCTAAATAACCAACTTTTACATAAACATAGTACCTCAAATTTTAACACTATAGAAATAGGATTCTGAACTAAAAACCAGGTATTGTTCCTGCCAAGTCCCTAATTGTAAAGATCTCAGCTCAGAAGGATTACTGAAATTACAGCCTTCCATATGTGGTGGTCTTGTGGATTTTAAGCTTAGATAATGTGCCAGCAGTGTTTAGATCTGTTTTAGCTGGTGTTGTTCTCTGTGAAAAAGAGGCAGTTACTCATTGGTGGGAATACAACCTCTAATATGCCACCAACAGAGGTCAATGACTCTTTATCTAAGACATTGAGTGGATTCAGGCACAATTGAGTGCCTCTCAGACATGGGAAACACTGGTGAGAGATGGTGGATGGTATGAAGGGAGTGTCATCCAAGTGTGGTGGTCCTGGCACCTTTAGCTGTCACCCCTCCAACACTGGAGCTCCTCAAGTAGCCCTTACATAAGCCTTGTCAATGTCCACGCTCACAGTAACTGCTGGAACTCATGGGTAAGCACAGAAACTCCATTTTCTCAATACAGCCCCAAGAAAGAGCCACCCTTGACCATGGCCTGTCTCTTATGAGTGATTAAATGATATCCTACTGGGCCCCCAACCCATGTTAAAGCTTCTAAACATTGGTTTAACACATACACATCAGTTTTCTGCCAATGGCTTAACTGTGAGTACTGATATTCCTATTTCAGAATAGAATATTTTAAATAATCCTATTTCAAATATTGGGGACGGTTGTCCTAAAATTGTGAAAAACCTTATTCATTGACCTTATCCTCTTAACAGTCCACACCATTCATCAGCCTGAGTTTTCCCAAGGTTGTTGCCTTTTGCAGAAGACAGGCAATGTAACAGTGGATGGACACAGTGAATGTGTTCAGGAAATTGAGACCAGTTGATAAATACCTGTTCTTAAGTCTCTGAGTCAACAGGAGCTAGGCTGGACATAGAATGTTCAGAAAGGCTAACCTTGTTTTTAAAGTGTTTGGATTTGGCAAGGTAACATAAAAGTAAAGGAGGTGAAATTACATAGCGAGTTCTACCCTACAGGGAAAACCTTTGGTCAAGAGGAAAATGACTTGTGGACAGGAGTCACACATCTGCTTTTCATCTTTACACAGTGATGTGAGGTCGTGGTGAGACCATCATGTGACAACTGTATTGTGAAACCAGAGAATAAAATCTGCCCAATTGCCTGCCTCTGACTTTAGTCAATAAAGGACAAACCGTATTGGGGTTCTAACTGCTAATTAAGCCACTCTCCATACATAGCTGTGAGTGTTTATTACAGGCTGAGTATCCCTAAATCCAAAAATTAAAAATCTGCAACTTTTTTCTGTTGCAGGTGGAAAATTCCACACTGTGAAGCTTTGTTTCATGCACAAAATTATCAAAAATACTGTATAAAATAGCATGTATGCAACAAATACATGAAACAAATGAAGTCCAGACTGGACCTGAGTGCCAGTTCCACAACACCTGTGTATTCTGGAATATCTGCATGTACATGACACCTCACATATATGCAAATATCCCGAAGTCTAAAACACTTCTGTCACCAAGCACTGCAGACAAGGCACACTCAACCCCACTACACACTGAAGTGGCCGGGTTGAGGTTCTGAGGAATTCTAGATCAACATCCATGTGAGTGATATGCTTTTCAATGCAGTTGCAGACCTGAAGGCTGAGGCTGGGAGGGGCAGGATGTGGGTGATATCATCACAGGATTTTAGCAGCTGATTGCTTTTCTTTGCAACACAGATTTTGGGAAGGCATGTCACAATGTGTAAAGCATCACAGAACAAGAGTCAAGTATCTTTATTTTCACTATTTGGAAACTTGGATAGTTAACAATTATGGGAAATATGTTACATTTTTTTCCTCTACCAATCCTCAAAATGCCAGCAAATGAGACATTTCTGAGAAATTTGATTACCCTAAGGCACCTTACCCAACAGAGGACCAATGCACAAACAAGTGAGACCGCTCATTGCAAACAAGAAGAAATGACATTTCTTCATAACTTCATGGCCATTACAGGAAGGCAAGGGTGACTTTACTTTTCAGATCTCAACACATAACACAACAGAAACACTGTTCAGTTGAGTGGCTAGTTTCTATAAACCAACTTAGTGGAGTAGTGGCAGAACAAAGGGGTCACCTGCAAAATACATTTATGTTTCACACCGAGGCTAGTTTTATATAACACAGAAAATGCTGAACTGACATCCTCACACTGACTACACTGCTGAGTGATGTGGGTGCTTGTTGAATGCTTCCCAGGCATGGATGAGGCGACTCTAATGTCTTTTCACACTGTCTGTAGGAAGGTAAGGTTCCACTACTGCAATGGGATTGCAGTTTTGAACGTGATTCTCTTCCAGTGACTGGCATTGCATTCCTGCATAATTAATATTCCAAATGTTTCTGAAAACATGTTTCAGCTTTTTCAGTGCTCATAACCCTCTGCAGGAACCTTACTTCAGGGGAAAAGGCAGCGTTAGCCTCACTCCAAAATATGGTAGTGATTTGCTTATCTATGTAGCCAATATGAAGTAAATGGAGCCATCCTCACCAGTCTATCGGGCTAACCCTTTAAGCAAAAGTGCAACATGAACCAGCATGCTGTCTCCTGTTTCAGGACAGGAGCCTCATCAGCAATCCACAAAATACGCTCAGCAGTAAAAGGAGAGCTGGCTGCAGATCCACGTCCCACACAGCCCAAGCCTGAACCCCTCACTGAGCACCAGCAACATCAGTTCCCAGACAACTCAGGATCAGGGACGCGCTGGTCAGTGTGACTACAAAGCTAAAGTTGACATTTCTTGAGGCAGCAACACGTGAAGTTAAGATTCTGAATCTCTTTGCAGTCAAGGTAGTTTTTGAAAAGGAACTAATCTGCCTTAAGAGGTTCTAATCTAGCAGAATGCCAGATGATGGCAAGGGTGCTTAAACTGAGAGTGCCATATTACCAGGGGACAGGGGAGTTGCAAGGACCACCTTCTGTTCCAGCAGAGGGCAGTCACGGTGGCAGCAATAGGAGTCACCAGGCACCTTGACCCAGAAGCTCGAACAATACCTCTTTGTAGTGTAGAGAGAAAGAAAATGACAAACTTTTATCAAATTGTTCCATTACATTATAATTTTACAACACCACCATATTTTTAATTCATATGTCAATTCGTTAATATTTATTCCTGGATGTGACTGTCTACTACTATTATCCTCTCTACTTGTTCATATATTTTTTCAAAGTATAAATGCTCCGAGAGTAGCTGGGTGTGTGTTTAATTCTAGAAATATTCATTTAAAGTAGAAGGAGCTGAGATTATAGATTATAATATATAAAAAAGAGTTTTACACAGTAAACACCTGAGTATCTATAAAGTAGAGAAAACTCCAAGGAAACAAGTGAGGCCCACTACACCACGGCTGATCAAATGGCAAGTAGCCAACTTTTTTGGACTCTTGAGAAGACAGGCTCTTTGCCACATATATTTACAGAAATAATATGTTGAGTTGTTGGACTAGAAATAATGGGAAAAATGGCTGGTGCACAGCAGTTGTTCTTGATACATATACACGGGGCACAGACCTATTTCCAGGCTCAATACATTCAGTGGAATTCCTAGAAAAGGCTGTAAACTAATAGGCAGAGAAGAAATCATGTACAGACTTTTATTTCTGCTAAAGATGACAACATGATTTCAAGCTTTGTGGTACAAATATAAGAAATGTATACTTTCGTATTTCTTTTCTGTTTAAACTAAACATAGGCTTTAGAAGGCATGGCTTCCCCAGTAGTGTTTTCAAACAACATCTTTATCATTTGGAGAACGTCTCATAAGCCAAAATTGGAGAACATTAAAACACACCAGCACTTCACGAGAGGAAGTTCAGTTGTATACTTCTGTAATGTTCTTTGACAGTTTCCCATCAGTGTAACTGTACTCTTGTGATGCCACTACCCTGCTACACTCGCAGAAGACATGTGCATATGATTTACTAGTATTTGCACTTTAATATAAAATTTTATAAAGATTCCAAAGTTATGAATATAGTTTTACACAACCTCTAAAGTAGAGGTCCAGTAATCTGATTCACAAGTCAAATGTGCCCACCACAAAACTATTTATTTTCAGGCTTTTGCAGAAACAGTTTGCTGATCCTTGCTCTAAACCCATGGAAGTTGTCTAGAATTCTGGACAGATTGTTTACAGTGGAATCAGTGTAGGACTTAATTTGACTTTCTTTATAGACATCATATACATCATTGCATTAGAATATCTACTTGGAGAACACATAAAAATAAAGTTATGTTCAAACAAAGACTTATTTCCTTGAAATGTTTAGGACCAGCAAAACAATCATATATAAAAGCAGTATATTTTTTAAGGAATAATAATAAATGAACAATTTAAATTACATTTTAAGTAATGATTTCAAGGCTCCCCAGAAAATGCATAGCTCACTGCCAGGGCAAATCTCAAAATCCAGATAGCAGGTATTTCTGATTTCCAATTTTTTGGAATATAGTATTTAACACAGTATTTGAGATTCTGTAATTGTTATGGAAGAAACACTGAAGAGAATTACTTATTACCAAAAAAGCAAGATATTTAAAAGAAATAAGAAACAGCCAAAAAAGAATGACTGCAGTTTAAACATCTTTTTCTTTTTCTTTTTCCATTAATAGGGAGCTACATAGTCTGCTGGTGAAGAATTTGATAGAAATGTGCTGTTTTCATTTCGAGGGCTGATCCCCATATCTGTGTCAGATAAATCATAGCACTTATTATTTGTTACCATGGATACCATGAAGATACTGCCATCCACTAAACAGTATTAGAGGAAGACAACGTAATTTTCAGGGACTAGTCCTGTTTTGCCTTCATAAGTTGCCTTTAACCATCCCGGCTCCACTGATGGGTACACTGGCAAAAAGAAACAAATACATACGTGTCAATCCACACTAGCTTTGAATAGTTATATAAAATAAACGGGTAAAAACGCACAGCAGATTGCATGCATACATTCACCTTGTCAAAACATATGTCTTTTCCACTCATATCAATCAGACAATCTCTGTGTGAGTGCGTGTGTGCAGGCGTGTGTTCTTTTTTATAAGCAAATAGGTACAGACACACGCATGCTCACGTGGGGACGGGGCTTAAGAAGCAGAGCCTCTACTTCTGACTCTGCCCAGCAAACCATTCCTTCCCCCGCCCCTGGTGAGACCCTTCTGTCTGCAGTATAACTGTACTCACCATTAGAAAATATCGCCCCCTGGGGAAAGGACAGCTCATGGCTGTGCTCTGCTTTACAGGAGTACATGGCTTTTGCTTGGCTGAAAGATCAAGACAACTTGTAAAAACCACAGCCCTCAACTTGAGTCCATCTCTATTTAAAACTATTCTTAACGAGTGCTATTAGCTTTTAGCAATAATTGGACTATAATATATGTAAGAATGTGCACATTTAATCTACATCAGTGCATTCTTCACAAACTGAACATGGAATCACATGAAGAAACTGGACATCACGGCACATCAAAAGCCCTTCTTAGGTTTCTGGGTAATACCCCTTAATGGCAGCCACCTGGCTTGTAACAAACAGCATAGGCTGGTTTTAACGACTGGTATTATTTAATTGTTAGAAAACTGTTCAATAAACTCATAGATACTCTAAAGCTTTATTTTTTAGACCCTTTATTTTTTAGACCACTTGAGTGAGCTCTAAGAATTAAAAGGTAAATCAGTTGAGAGGGCATGAGAGAAACAGGAGATCAACTGATGACAAATGGCCACCAACTCTAGCTTCCCTGTCATGAAGGTGAGGAGATGGATGGAGGCTTTGCTCATCTCCTGAAGGAAACCAATGCTCAGCTCCCAATCACAGTCACCACATGCAAAATCATGCTCAATGTAGCCTTTGTGTTTTAAACCAAGCCAGAATTTGAGCATTTGATGTGAGATCTGATTTTAAAATGTGTGAGCTGACACTAAAAAGTCCTTCTCTGAAGCTGCTCATCTAGTCACCAGGCATGTCCCCTTTCTTCTGCAGCACTGAATTACCTCCTAAGACTTGAACTTTCTGACTCCACCCACTTGTGTTCCTACAGCCAGAGTGCAAACCAATGTTACTTCTAACTTGATTGACTGAATGACTTTGCTTACATCCTAAAACCTCAAGGGCTCTTCTGTTCACTCCCATCCATTATCTACAGAGCAAGCAGAGGTCAATTCTGAAGAGTGTATCAGATCACATGACCTCCTGGTGACAACCTCTAAATGTTTTTCTCATCAGGTCTACAAAGTGAACGTGTCTGTCTGTCTCTCCTACCTCTTTTTGCGTCTGCCTCTGGTCACTTAGTACACTCCAACTGCACTGGCCTTTCCTCTTCCTCAAAAAATCTCAAACTCATTCCTACCTCAGAGTAGCTGTGTACTCATAATATGTAAATGAATCATAGAGCAAAGGTCACGTACCCCATTGCACTATTTAGAGAACCTCAACAGTTTGGGATTGTATGAAATATAAATTAGATTTCTTTTCTTTTTTCCTTTGGCAGTGCTTGGGTTTGAACTCAGGGCCTTGTGGTTGCTAGTCAGGCATTCTATCACTTGAGCCACACCCCCAGGCCTGTTTTGCTTTAGTTACTTTTATTTTATTTTATTATTTTTTTTTGTTGCAAAGATGAGATTTATGTACACAATCAAATAAATAACAATTAAATGACTTAAACTGATATCAAGAATATGATCATAGATGTTCCGTAAGTTTTCATGTTTTTTTTTTTTTTATGGACATACAGATATCTCATTGCACGCTGACTTTTTTTTTTTTACATTTTTCTTTTATTATTTATATGTGCATACAAGGCTTGGTTCATTTCTCCCCCCTGCCCCCACCCCCTCCCTTACCACCCACTCCGCCCCCTCCCTCTCCCCCCCAATACCCAGCAGAAACTATTTTGCCCTTATCTCTAATTTTGTTGTAGAGAGAGTATAAGCAATAATAGGAAGGAACAAGGGGTTTTGCTGGTTGAGATAAGGATAGCTATACAGGGCATTGACTCACATTGATTTCCTGTGTCTTTTACTTTTTGCCCAGGCTAGCGCAAACCACAATTCTATCGCCCCTCCCTGAATAGCTGGAACTACAGATGTGCACCACCATATGTAGTATTTTTTGATAGGAGTCTAACTTCTTTCCCAGGCCTTGAGTTATGATCCTTCTTCTCTGCCTCCTGAGTAGCTGGGATTACAGCTGTGAGCCACCATGTATTGTTTTTATTTTCATCTTGTCTCCCAACTAAAATATAACCTCCACGTCTGATGCTTAGTAGTAACTCAGTAAACACTTGCTAAGTGAATCAATGAAAAAAAGGATGGTCTTTTTAACATTCAGGATGTGTTGTCTGTCCTCCCTGAGGTCCTAGCACTGCCCCTGCAAAGAAGCATCAGTGGGACCTGCCATCTCCCCCAAAGCAATGGCATCGCACCACCACTTCATTTTCCTGTACCCAGGGTCTAGCTCCAGAATGAGGCTCAATCATTTAAAATGGGGTTCCAGAAGACTAGTGAAGACTGGAAAGCTTATGGAGAGAGGATTCTGCTCCAGTGTCTGGTTCACGTGAGGTGAGTCTCAGGCTGTATGTTCAGGAAGCTTGCCAGGGGACAGCTTTGGGAGCAACCTGCAGCCCACACAGCACTTCTCAGCGAATGTGGGCCAAGGTAGGAGGAGCACAGGCATCAGGGATGAACGGGCTTCACACTAAAAGAGCTGCGTTTGAGTGTGAGAGTATATGCACAGGTATGCCGGTCACAGACAGGCCTGTGGTGGAGGGAGAGGATGCCTCTGAGTCCTGGAGACTTCTTAGAACCAGACTACAGGAATCTTAAAGAGAATACTAGTTTTCCCCATTAACCTGCTAAAGTAGTAGAGTGCCTGACTAGCAAGTGCAAAGCTCTGAGTTCAGACCCCAGCACCACAAAAATTAAAAAAAAAGAAGATGCAAATATATTCTGAAAAAATCAGTCTCCAATGTAAACAAGTTCCTCCAATAGCAATGTCTTATTTCTTGAGTCACTAAGACAAATTATCAAGAGATGCATAAGGAAACAATTTCCAAAGTTGTAGAAATGACGATGATACATTCTTTCCAATGACATAATTTTTGTAAGTATCCTTTAAAATGCAACCAAATTCTTTTAATTGATATTTTAGACATGAACGGCTCTCCTTGTAGCATCTCATGGCCTGGGTGGGAGAGTGGAGAAGCCCACAAAATAATCTTAAGGCTAAATAAACAGATACTGAAAAGTGTGTCAAAACACAGAGCACACAATACTGTCATGGCTTTTTGGTTATCAGTGCACATGTCCAGAAAGAGTTTTCTTGTGTGGAGCGCTGTAACTCCAGGTGCTAACTCGGAGGACAGTCTGATGACTTAATGTAGGCTCTGCAACAGTGAAGTTCCTCTCCAGCCACTAATGCTTCCTCTTTCACTGCCTCTTCTAATGAAGAGGATGAGAAAGTAACATGTCACCTATTGTGTTTCACTTCAGAAGATTCTAGTATCCCTGTGAAAAGGATTTTGAAAATCCTGCTTCTTACCCATGGAAGGATAAGGGAATAACAGCCACAGACCTGGAAGGCATTTCTTCCCTATCGTTAGGAAATGCTCTGATCACAGCCTGACTCCTCATTCTGAACGTCACATGCTGCTCAGGAGTAAACATGTAAAGGCATCTAAGGTCAGTATGGAAAATTTACCAATCTGGTCTTAAGAAATGTAAGAAAACTTCACCAAAATCAATGCAATGTTTTCTAGGGACCACTTGGCAATCTCCCAATCCTGTCCTGTCCTGGTCTTCCTGTGTCTCTCTCTCTCTCTCTCACAACTTTGTATACCATTGAGTTTCATTTCTGAGGGGAACAGAAGTGTGCACAGAATCAGAAGGATGACAAAGCCATACTATATACATATAAAAGCTACTAAAAAGTCACAACCATCTAATCACCAGTAGGAGATTTAATAAATTGAGTACGCCAATTGAAGAACACATGGCATGAAACAATATTAGAAACTTTTACACATTTGTTCTTGACAAGACTCCTAAATTACCCATGACAAATTGCTAATAACACTGTGTTTTCTTAGCTGGGCGCCAGTGGCTCAGGCCTATAATCCTAGCTACTCAGGAGGCAGAGATAGGGAAGATGCACAGTTCAAAGCCAGCCTGGACAAACAGTTTGTAAGACTCTATCTCAAAAAACCCACCAGGAAAAATGGCTGGTGGAGTAGCTCAAAGTATAGGCCTTGAGTTCACGCCCCAGTACCACACACGCACACACCTACCCAGCCCCCCCCACACACACCCAAACACTGCATTTTCTTAAAATTAGTCACATATTCTCTTTATAGCTTTTTTCCCCAACAGACACTGGCTGGTTCAGGCTTAGATAGAGGAGTGATTATTGGATGTCCCAAGGTTAAAGACCTTCCTTATGAGCACACAGAGCTAAAGCTGCTTCTGTCAAAGACAGGCTTACTGCCACTCCACTGAGCATGAAGTGAAATAGTGAGTGATAAAACATTTTTACATTAGAAACATGCACTTCATCCATCATTCAGTGACTTTGTTGAGCATGTGTTCTGTACTGGGTACTATGGTAGAAGCAGAGAAGCATCACCTCCACGGACCTTTTTCTAATTGTGTTTATCACAGAGTAAATACTTTGCAAAGTGTGGTCAAGAGAAGCAGAGCAGAGAGACTCTGAGATATCATTGCTGTGACATGATGGAATGTATCTGATAATTTGTTTTTTGTATTATTCCAGATATTAAGGATGGCTACAAAAATGTAAAATGATACAACTCTTTATTTTGAAAAATATCCTGTCATAAAATTATGGTATTTGCACCAATATATAATGGGTTTCTTCTTATTTTAAATAAACAGCAAAAACATCAGTAAAAAACACATAAACAATTGGAAGCTGAACAACACATTGCTCATTGAGGAAATTAAAAGGTTCCTGGAAGTTAATGAAAATGAAAACATGACCTACCAGAACCTATGGGACATAGCAAAGAGGAAAGTTTATAGCCATGAGTGCATATATTAAAAGGACAAAAAGATCTCAAATCAATGACCTAACACTACAGCTCAAACTCCTAGAAAAACAAGAACAAGCAAATCCCAAAACAAGCAGAAGGAAAGAAATAATGAAGATAAGGGCTGCAATCACTGAAATAGAAACCAAAAAAAACCACACAGAGAATCAATGAAACAAAAAGCTGGTTCCTTGAAAAAATAAATAACATTGACAGATCCCTGG